GCAGAAAAAGCATTTGACAGAGTTAACTGGAAATTTCTATTTGCAACTTTACACAAATTTGGTTTTGGATCCTCTTTCATTAACTGGTTAAAAATATTATATAATTCCCCAACAGCTTGTGTCAAAACAAATGACCAAACATCCTCCAGCTTCTGTCTCCTGAGGGGCACCAGGCAGGGATGCCCACTTTCCCCTTCACTGTTTGCAATTTTTATTGAACCACTAGCAGCAGCAATTAGACAGAATTCAGTAATTAAGAGCATGAAATGCAAGAATGTGGAACATAAAATAGGTGCTGGTCCCCATGAAGTGATACACTTGCTTTCCCCTGCAAGTAAAGCATGATGTCTTATCAGGAAGCAGACCCTGACCCTGGGTTACTCTAATTTTCTGGCAAAGGTTAGTCTTGGAGTTTTTGCAGAATTTGCATTCACCACACTGAGGCACATACAACGGGATGACAGTATCACCTGGCTTAAACTTGGTAACACCTTCGCCAACACTTTCAAACGTTCCAGCACCATCGTGTCCCAAGCTAACAGGGAAAAGCCCCTCAGGGTCACTGCCACTCAGAGTGTAGGCATCTGTATGACACACGCCTGTAGCAGAGATCTTAATGCGAACTTCATGGGCCTTAGGTGGGGCTGACTCCACCTCTTCAATAGAAAGAGGTTTCCTTGGCTCCCAGGCAACAGCTGCCTTGCACTTGATTATTTCACCAGCTGTCTCCATGCTCAGCCAGTTTCGCCAGATCAGCCTGCTGAACGTAGAGGGAAAGATCTTCTTCGGTGTCTTGGCCCAAAGGCTATCTACCTTCCTGCAAAGAAACTACTATATATTGACACATCAGTGCAGAAGGCCGGCATCCGGGGCTTCTTGGGATGTCTGGAGCATGCCAGCATCATCTGGCACCAGATTCAAACTGCCAAGAAAGAACGAAGAGACCTTCAAGTGGTGTTTTTAGACCTTGCCAATGCCTTTGGGTCAGTTCCGCACAAGATCTTGTGGATGGCCTTCAACTATTTCAGCGTACCAAACCACATCACAGGACTGGTCAAGATCTACTTTCAGGATTTACAGTTTTGTGTGACAGCTGAGAACACCACTACAGCCTGCCAGCACCTGGAAATTGGAGTTATGGCAGACTGCACGATTTCCCCTCTGGCATTTATCATGGCAATGGAGTTGGTCATACGGGCATCCTGGTGGGTAGTGGGAGGTGAGAGACTCAAGAGTGGCCTTCGTCTTCCTCCCATTCGGGCCTACATGGATGACATGACATCACTACAACAACAAAACCATGTACTAGGCGATTGCTACAGAAGCTCCTGGAAAACATAGAATGGGCAAAAATGGAGTTTAAGCCAAGTAGATCTCACAGCATCTCCATCACAAAAGGAAAACTGACAGCCGAGCAATTCTATATCAGTGGAGAACCAATTCCAACAGTCTTAGAGAAGCCCATAAAGAGCCTGGGACGGTGGTATAATGCAGACCTCAATGATACGTGGCAACTAGAACAATTAAGGCAGAACTTGGTTGATGACCTCAAGTGGATTAACAACACTGCACTCCCAGAGAAACTGAAGCTCTGGTGCTTCCAGTTTGGGTTATTACACAGACTACTGTGGCCGTTGACAATGTACGAGGTCTCACTCAATCATGCCAATCGACTAGAGAAGCTAGTGAGCTCCTACGTTAAGAAGTGGCTCGGACTTCCCAAATGCCTCAGCAGCGTTGGACTCTACAGCGACAGGATACTGTCATTGCCTATCCCCTGCCTGGTCGAGGAGATTAAATGTGCAAAAGTGAGGCTTGAGATGTCACTCATGGACTCCTGGGACCCCATAGTGAGAGGCACTGCTCCCACCCTAGCAACGCGGAGGAAGTGGATCCCAGCCACATCTGTGCTACAGGCGAAATCCGCTCTTTGGCATCGTGACGTGGTGGGTCATGTCCAACATGAAAGAGGGGGATTTGGTCATGGCGCAGTAACACCTTGGTCGCAACAGGCATCTGTAACTGAACGTCGAAAAATGGTGGTGGAGTAGGTGCGTCGACAGGAGGAAACAGCCAGACATGCCAGAGCCGTGGTACTGGCCAAGCAGGGTTGCTGGATGAATTGGGAGAGTGTGGAAAAGAGGAAACTCTCATGGAGTGAAATCTGGGGCATGGAGTCTAATAGACTAAGTTTCACCATGGAAGGCCTCCATGGAATGTCTGCAAAGTGTTCAGAATACTGCTACAAGGCTTCTGACTAAGTCTTCCAAGTACTCTCATGTCACACCCCTGCTGATCCTGCTGCACTAGCTCCCCATTAAATTCAGAGTCCACTTTAAGATTATGACTTTGACATTCAGGGCTCTGCATGGACAAGCATCGGCATATATCAGAGATCTTTTACATGGCTGTATTGTTGAGTTATTTGAGCTGACAGCAAATTTACACTGTTATACAAGCTATACACTGACTACTTTACATTGCATCAAAGTGTCATATCTTCAATATTGTCCCATGATTCGGTATAGTCGCTTATCTTAACGTCTTAACAACACAGGCACAGTCTTTGAGAGGGGCTGGACTGCAGTTGCCAACAGTGAGAGGCAGCGGGCAAGGATGGGTATTCTAATATCTTCCATTATATAATAAATTATCTATATGGAGGTGAGGTGTGTACTAACTTTTTTGATCCCATTCCCATTAAGAAGGCAAAAAATTCCACAAATGAACACTGATAAGGCTGTGAAGTGAAAACCATTTCAGGTGACTACATCATGAGGATCATTGAGAGAAGGCCAAGGTTTGCAGTAATGTCAAGAAATCCAAGGATGGCTATTTTAAATTAAATTGAATTGAATTTTAGATTCCTCAATTTTATTTATACAGCGCAAATTCACAACAGTTGCCTCAAGGTGCTTTATATTGTAAGGTAGACCCTACAATAATAAATTCAGAGAAAATCCAACAATCATATGACCCCCTATGAGCAAGCACTTTTGCGACAGTGGGAAAGAAAAAAGAAGGGTTTTTTTTCCTGCTTTTTAAGAGGAATAAACCTCTGGCAGAACTAGGCTCAGGGAGGGGCCCGTCATCTGCCTTGACCGACTGGGTGAGAGAAGGAAGACAGGACAAAAGACATGATGTGGAAGAGAGCCAGAGATTAATAACAAGTATGAGTCAATGCAGAGAGGTCAACATAGTGAGTCAGAAAGGTGATTGAAGAAGAAATACTCAAATGGAAGAAAGAAGTCCTACATATTTGTTTAATATGTCCATTGAAGGACATATCTATATGGGGCGATCATGGCTCAAGAGTTGGGAGTTCGCCTTGTAATCGGAAGGTTGCCGGTTCGAGCCCCAGCTTGAACAGTCTCAGTCGTTGTGTCCTTGGGCAAGACACTTCACCCGTTGCCTACTGGTGGTGGTCAGAGGGCCTGGTGGCGCCAGTGTCCGGCAACCTCGCCTCTGTCAGTGCTCCCCAGGGTGGCTGTGGGTACAATGTAGCTTGCCATCACTAGTGTGTGAATGGGTGGATGACTGGATGTGTGAAGCGCTTTGGGGTCCTTAGGGACTAGAAAAAAGCGCTATACAAATACAGGCCATTTACCATATCCTGGTCAAAAATGACTCCAAGGTTCCTCACAATGTTGCTGGAGGCCAAGGTAATCCCATCCAGAGTGAGAAACTGGTTAGATACCATATTTCTAGGAATTTTTGGGCCACGTACAATGACCTCAGTTTTATCTGAATTTAGTCTTGGTACAGGGCTTTGAAGATGATAACAGTGGGTGAATTATATTCTTAAACTTAGTTACAGAACTACAACACTAGTTGATGTTTGTCATGGCGGTAATCCCCAAACTAGATGAAGGGAGCTGTTAAGTTGAAAGAGGAGTCCTATCTGGCTTAGTTAGCTTGTAGGTTACCGGAGGAAACTGGCAGGTTCCAACAGGCCAAATAAATCCCTCTCTCGCCCCAGTGGGCGGCCTATCCTTCAAGCTTGAGTCCTCTACCAGAGGCCTGGGAACTTGAGGGTCCTGCGCAGTATCTTAGCTGTTCCTGGGAATGCACTCTTCTGGACAGAGATCTCAGATTTTGTTCCTGGGATCTGTTGGAGCCACTCGCCTAACTTGGGAGTCACCGCACCTAGTGCTTCGATTACCACTGAGACCACTGTTACCTTCATCCTCCACATCTTCTCCAGCTCTTCTCTGAGCCCTTGGTATTTCTCAAGTTTCTCATGTTCTTTCTTCCTGATGTTGCTGTCATTTGGAACCACTACATCTATCAGTACGGCTGTCTTCTTCTGTTTATCTACCACCACTATATCTGGTTTGTTAGCCGTCACCATTTTGTCCATCTGTTTGGGGTGAAACCCTCCATGCAGGGTCAGGAGTTTCCTGGTCTTGATGTCAGTGGCTTGTATCTCCCTCCTTTGGCCAACTTATTATCCCAGTAGGGTACCTGATCACGGGCAGGGCGTAGGTGTTGATAGCCCGGATCTTGTTCTTACCGTTCAGCTGACTCCTCAGGACCCCAGACATTCTGCAGGTACTTTGTAGTTGCAGCTTTCCTAGTGGCCTCTTCATGGTTCCCATTTGCCTGTGATTCCTAGGTACTTGTAGCTGTCTTCTATGTCTGCAATGTTGCCTTCTGGTAGTTCTGACTACCTTCCCTCTCTTTGTTATCATCTGATTACACTTCTCCAGTTGGAACGACATTCCGATGTCATTGCTGTATATCCTGGTGGCGTGGATCAGTAAATCAATGTCTCGTTCACTCTTGGCATACAGCCTGACGTCATGCATCTACAGGAGGTGGCTGACAACTGCTCCATTCCATAGTCAGTATCCATAGCCAGTCTTGTCAATGATCTCACTGAGGGGGTTCAGGCCTATGCAGAACAGCAGTGGGGACAGAGCATCTCCTTGGTAGGTCCCGCACTTGATGGTGACTTGTGCTATGGGCTTGAAGTTGGTATCTTGCATTGTACAGCACATCCCCATTGAGTTCCGATGAAGGCTCTTAGGGTCCTGTTGATCTTGTATAGGTCTAGGCATTCCAGGATCCAGGTGTGGGGCATTGAGTCATAGGCCTTCTTGTAATCAATCCAGGCAGTGCACCGG